CCAAGGCCGGCCCTTTTGGATTGTTATCCTGGTTATCGCATGATGCTATGTTTAGTGATATGTTAGATCTGTATCTTGGTATATAGGATGGTTCTATGTTTAGTGATCTGTTAGATTTGTATCCTGGTATATATGACGATGTTATGATTAGTGATCTGTTAGATCTGTATAACTGTTTGTATATGCTAGCTAGTATTTGATATCTATGTGTTGATTGTGTGAGTGTGGGTGGGTTGAGGCAGTCTTGCTTTGTACTTTAGGCCAACAGACCCAGGGCGGCCTGGATATACTGAAGGCCCATCGGGGGGTACCAGTGAGGCCGAAGGCCCGGAGAACGGTCAAGACATGTTGAAGGCCCGACAAGGCAGTCCATACATGCTGAAGGTTTTGAGAGTGGGCCAAATAGACTGAAGGTCTGGTGAGGCGGTCTAGTCATACTGAAGACTCTATATGCATACTGTTTGTTTATGATATTGTTCTATTATGTGGCATTGGTATTTTGGGGGAACTCACTAAACTTTAGGCTTACAGTTTTGGTTTATGGTTTCAGGTACTTTAGAGGATTGCGGGAAGGCGAAGGCTTGATTGTGCACCTTTACATTGTGTTATGATTTCTGGAAATTACTCTGATGACAATCTATTTTGACAACAATTTGTAATAAATGATGTTTTTGGATGTTTGAAAAAGTTTAAAATTTTTGTGAAATTTATGGATGTTACAATGTGTTTGTATGTATACCGGGCGGGGCCCAAAGTCATGCGGTGCCTGATGAATGTACCAGGTAGGGCCCGATGTATGTATGTGTATATGATATGTATGGTATGTGGTATTTTGGGGAACTCATTAAGCTTTATACTTACAGTTTTATGTTTATGGTTTCATGTACTCCTGTTTTCAAATGAATGGCCTAGCTTGATCGCACTACGTCCCCTGAAGATTTATTCCGCATTGACTATATATGATTTTACTCTGATGTTTTGATAATACTTTTATTATGACCGACATTTTGATAATGAATAAATGGTTTTGGCTTATTTAAAATGAAATTTTTACTCGAAAATTTTTGGGATGTTACAATGAACGTTATCCATTGATTTACAGTGCACAAAAGTGCCCAATGACATCCCAAAAAAAGTTGTCATCTTCACCATCTTTGTCTCCACCTGTGTTGCTAAAGCTTCTTCGCCGTCAAATTCAAACGTCGACTAATCAAAGTTGTAAATTTATTATTGCATGAAGTTGTGAATCGATTGAAGCTCTTGTGTGAATGACGATGAACTATGAAACTTGCATACGACATTCTTAATGATGGGGTAAAAGGGATTTTGGTTTATTTTGTGGGGTTAATGTCATTATAAATTTGATGGACTGCTTGGGAGAATTTAAAATTTACATGGATTGCTGGGGAGAATTTAAAATGACATCACAATCTTTACATGAACTTGGTAGAATATATTTACAAGTTCGAAGATTGATCTCAATATGGATCCCTCTAATGTTTTGGAAAACGAGTTATAAGAAGAAGACTTCACTTAGCATGTTTTAGTTATTTTTTTATGTTTTTAAGTTTATCCAAGTTTTTATAATTCTACTATGTATTTTTTTATTTCAAATAATAAAATTTTAAGTTTTTATTTAAATTAAACTATTACCAAAATTAGTATGACATGTCATGGTTTCCACTTCTGGTAGGTAACATTTATGTGAAAAAAAAAATGATAAAAGTGACATCACAATTAGCCTAACTAAATTTTGCATTTGTTTTAAATGATCACAAAAGTATTTTTACATGTTAAATAGGGGAATATCCATAAACTTAAGGGGTTATTAGCTGACTAGATAAACGAAGTGGTCCATGTGGCGCACGTCCACATTGATTTTTCTGTTTAAAGTTTATTTTTTATTTTTATTTTTTTTTTAAATATCTCTCTATACACATACAAGAGTCTCTCTCTCTCTCTCTCTCTCTCATACAATCAAGTCAAGGAAGCAATGAAGCAACAAAAAAGTGAAAAACCCAATAACATCATTTTTCCATTTCCCATGAAATACTTCATCAATCGTTCATCTAACCTCAACATGAATTTTTTTTCCCTAATCGCTACATTCAATTTCCACAAATAAAACGAACCTTAGTTGATAATATTTAGGTACATCTGATATCAAGAGTAAAATGACAAAGTATGAGCATAACTAAAGCATATAAGTACACATCTAGATACATATACAGAGAGAAGAAAGATTCAGACATTCTCATCGAGCGATCCAAACATGAACTTTATCCATTGATTTCCATAACACAAAAGCGTCAAATGACATCCAAAAAAAGGGCGTCATGTTCACTATCTTTGTCCCCCACTTGTGTTGCCAAAGCTTCTTCGCCACCGTCAAATTCAAACTTCGATTACTTAAGGTTGTAAAGTATTATCGCATCATGTTGTGAAACAATTGAAGCTCCTGTGTGAATGACGATGAAATCTGAAACTTGAATATGACATTCATCACAATGGGGTAAAAAGGATTTTGGTTTATTTTGTGGTGTTAATGTCATAGTAAAATTGATGGATTGCTTGGAAGAATTTAAAATCTACATGGTGTGATTGATTATTTTACAAAGAAGACATGGATAAAAATATACAAGTGAAAGCATAGATAAATTTTCAAATGGTGCGTTCGTCAAACCCTAAAAATGGGTATATAAGATCCCAAAAAGAAGTTAATTAACAAAGCCAAATATATTAATATTTTGACGTAACCGGTTAAACCGAAATAAATACGATGCTTCTCTTTATTAAGAGGTAAAATAAAAGTTTAAGGAGCTACAAAACATAAAAAATTCTTTGACTATTTAAAACAAATGAAAAAATGTTAATCAGTATAAATGATAGAGTAAATTACACGAATGGTCCCTATGGTTTGGGTAATTTACGTGCTTGGTCCCTAATTTATTTTTTTAACTCGGAAGGTCCCTATGGTTTGTTTTTGTTACGCGTTTGGTCCCTACTGTTTATTTTTGTTACGTATTTTGTCCCTGTCTTATCTAAAAAGACTATTATTTAAAGAAGAAAAAATGATGGGGTAGGTAAGGTAAGGTGAGGAGGTGTGATTAGAGGTGTGTTTATTTAGATAATTTAAAAAAATCAAGGGCATAATAGTCTTTTTAGGTAAGATAGGGACCAACCGCGTAACAAAAACAAACAGTAAGGACCTTCCGAGTTAAGAAAATAAGTTAGGGACCAAACACGCAAATTACCCTAAACCATAGGGACCATTCGTGTAATTTACTCTAAATGATATTAACTCAAGGGAAATTGAAAGGGGAAGTGGTTCATGTTGAGTTTGGGCTTGCCCCTAGGCCCTAGTCCGGTTGGTGTTGGGCTGTATCACAAAACTTCTGTAAAGTTGATTAGAGACGACTTCAGACGAGTCAAACGTCCGTACACAACTACACACTACACACAGTTTGTTGATTCCTGTTGATCTAAAGAAAATCCGGAGTCAGTGCATGAACTTGGTGCTTCCTAACCTTATGTGAAGTTGAGATTTGGAAAGCGGGAAGATAGCATGAAGAAGATGAACCAGAAGAGGCATACAGTTTCTTCGACAAATTCTTATCAGGTAGTAGCAATAATTTCATCGATGTCATCTTTACTTATTCTTCTCCAATGATGCTTCCTCGAGCCTTACTGGTAATTTTCTGTTTTTTGATATTCATATACTGAACACTCCCCTAATATGCTTGTCCTTTGGAGTCACATTGGGAATGTTGTTAGTTTAATTCGTTTTACGAATGTAGAATTGATTTGAGTTTCTGATTTGAGATCGATTCGCACGGTCTGTACAATGCTTATAAATGTTATTTGTACTGGAATGTTGGATTCCATCAATAGCCAACTTCACGTAGATATTCCTTCGTGACCTGATTTAAGAGTTAATTGATGGGTATGAATCGGGAGTCTTGCATGATGATTTAAGAATCGCAATAAGGAATCAAGGAACAACGAAAACGTATTGTTCCTGATTATAGTAATTTTTGATGATATTTGTAATTGATTTGTGCTTTGAATTGCCCTCCCTCTTTTATGCCTACAATTTTTTAACCTAATCGATTGTATTGCTTTAAAGTTCATGTTTTTGGCACATCAACAATGATTTTTGAAGGTTTACGTATTTGTCTAAGTGTTCTTCTGGAGGCTATGTTTTTTTTAGTCTGATGGAATTACAGCTAATGTTGGTGAGATTAAGCCGTGTTACTTATTATATGTTATGCCTTTCTGATCTTGGTTGACCAATGACCATCTTTGACTTTGTCATATTCATTTGATCATTCTTGATTTCTTTCAAATAGATAATTCTATAAACACAAATTTAGATGTTTTCTAAAATCAAGGAACACAATCTTGTCTATTCTGAAACAAGTGCTTGGTCAATTGCAAGTACATTTTTTTCGTCAAAAACAAGAACATGAAATGGCATTAAATTTTACAGATATGATATGTGTTGAAGGGGGCGAATCTTGGAGCAACCACTAATGTTATTCCTGGTAAGTACTCTGCTAATACACAATTGTCTTACCTTTTAAAATTAATGAAAAGAACAAGAGAAAACCCATGGAATAATTTAACAAGAAGACTAAAAAAATACATATATATGTTTGAACAATGGAAGTATTAGCTATGATTAGTTGAAAAAGATCTTAAACCCATTGTTTGATTTAGAATCATCAAGAAAGATAAGAACTAGAGTCACCAGCTGGACGGCATGTAACCGAAACAAACTTTAAGAGAATAACAATCTATCAAGATTCAAATTTCAAAATACATCTTATCCAATAAAATCAATACACCAAAAAGAATCATTTCATCCATAGATCCTTCCCTTGAAATCTCCGCCAAATCTTTTGTAAATAGCCAATAAGTCCAAGAACAAAACACTATAAGAATGAAAACACAAAACCTCCAATAGCCTTCCACTGTATTCTTTCGTCTTGACACACCATATGGGAGCTTCAACAAAAGAGAAAGGTGTGCTTAAACTAGTGCATCCAGGTAGACATGTTGAGTATCACAGAAGCTCAATCACAGCTGCTGAAATCATGAGGAAGAATCCTAGACACAGTATCACTCGCCCTGATTTCTTTAAAAATCCTTATATAGTTGTTCGCCCTGAATCCATTATGGTTCCCGGTCAAGTGTTTTACATTGTCCCAAACAAAACCGTATATAAATTGGTCAAACATAGAAGAAGTCAACTCTCTTCACATCCAAATGAGTCTCCAAACACTAGTGATCATAATCAAGCTTCCCAACAGATCTCACCATCAAAATCAATGGCAGGAAGGACACCTATTTCTGAACACAAATTCCATGATCAGGAACAAGAAGGATCAAGTTCTTGTGAAGAAAATACGTTGGATGATGATGATGGTGATAGTTTGACTTTTCAAGCTAGAGACTATTATCTAAATAGAAATGGTTCAGCATGGGGAAGAACTGTAAACTATGGTCAACAAGGTACCAATTTGAAATCCTGCATGAAGAAGGAGGGCCTTGTTCGGGTATCCCCAAACCTAAGGGTGACTTTTGACTTTAGTACAATTATCCAATATTATTATAACTGAACTCCCCATTGTTGAAAACGTCGGTTCTGTGTGAAAAAGGCATGAGATCATAGTCTTTGTGTTCTGTGAGGTCACAATAGTAGAAGAGAACAATTCATGCTTCTTTGGATCATAAAAGTTATAATATTGAGTTTTATGGGGCGTTTGGTTTGCCAAATGTTTTTGGAATGAATGGAATCTGTTAGATGAATTGGAATACGTTACATGTTTGGTTGGCAGGAAATTGAATGGAATTCGATAATCAAAATCGGATAACTTATAAGTTTTTGGTTATAATTACTTTTTCTATTTCTATTATGTTTCAGTATATGTATAAATGAGGGTAGTTTTAGTTTTTTTTTTAATAATGAAAGGAGGAGCGGAAATGAATTCCTTCCACCTATCCTAAGGAATGGTGAAATCCATCAAACATGCGGTAGAATGGAATGGAATCTCGAATTCCAGTTCCATTGGATTTTGCCAGAATCCTCAAACCGAACACGCCCTTATACAAATATTTGAGAAACAAAATATAAACATAATCGAATTATATATCAACTCTAAATACGTACTTTTATTAAAAAGTAAAAAACAAATATTCCTAAAGAAATTGCTTCATTCTGTTCTGACTGTTACCTTAGAATCAGTTCTTTGTGAATTCCTGGATGGAGATGTAGATCTGGATCCCCTTGAAGAATTATGTCCAAAAAGATTAAATTTACTGATTTTCTTGGAAAAGGAACTCATAAATTTACGCGAGTTAGACTTTTCCATATTCCTCTTCATACAAACATGCTCTTTTTCCAAATCATTCAATCTCATTCTTAACCGAGTCAATTCAAGTTTAAGCTCCCGGTTTTCTCGCCTGAGTGATGCATAGTTATCCTTTGGAGACATCGCAGCACTGAGAGCGCCGCTGTTGATCCGCCATGACTGGTGGTGCACTGGTGGCGGCTTCTGGTGGTCACCACCACCACCTAGGTCAGAGCAGTATAAGGCGTTTCTAAGTCTTAATTGCTCGATGTATAGAACTTGGACGATTGATTGAAGTGGCAGGCGATCGTTTTGTGCAGCATGTGCACCCGCTTCTGTTGACAGTTTCTGGAAATCAATTAATTTGCAGAGCTTCTTTTTCTCAGCTTCCGATAAACCCTGATGAGCCTACATTCAAGTTTTGTTTCTGGAATCAGTTCAAAGTTGTAACAGTTTTTTTATAAAATAATCGTGTTAGTAATTAGCAATGAAAGTAATTTTAAAAAACCATTAAATTTTTATATAACATGAGGGTTGCCTCGACCTCAAACGTAAATATATGCTCAAGTGCCTAGAAAGAGGGAGCATGAATAAATACCATTTAAACTTAAGTTATTTTAAAAACAAACTATTTTCCATATATTTTTTTTAAGCTCAAGGCTTTTGAAAAGCCAATAAGTCAATAATCATTTTTTCAAAATCAACCTGGAACACCTTATTTTAGTTTAAGAAATAAGATTAATTTAAGTCGGGATTGACTATATGAGAAGTAGTGGTCCGTTGTTGGTAAGGAAGATTGACCATGAGTCAAGTCTTTTTAAGAAGGGTTTTTGTACCATCACGAAAAAGTTGGATAGAGATTTGCCGGTGCAAAAAACGTAAATATCCTTCTTGCTCTTATCATAAAAAATAAATCTACGAGTATTTGAACTAGATTATTTGTGGAATCAAACGACATACCTTAAGGTAAACATCAATGGATCGATACAGTCCATCATGGACAGTCCGAGCATGCGCGGGTAAACTCTCTGCAACGGCTATAAACCTAGAAAGTTTAAGATTTGCATCAGGCGCTATTTCCGCAAGATAATTATCAACCAACTTCGAAACCTTAAACAAAGCCGTTTCAGATGGTGAATCGAGACCGAGACCGTCAGATCCAAAACCCGAACCATCTTGATCATCATCATCGTCATCATCAGTCTCATCTTGCTGCGCAAAATTAACCAAAATCCTATGAACCGTATCAACATCAAACAATGTATCGCCAGCATGCCGAAAACTCGGTATCAAAAGATCATCAAGTGTCGCTATATCCAACAACGATCCAATTCGTCTCTCGAGATCAAGCCGACTAGCAACCGTACAATCAAGCATCACCGCACTTCGAAGCAACCCGAAAAGAAAACTTAACGGGACCGCAAGTTTCTCAACCGGAAGCAAACCGACAATCGTCTCGACCACAAGTCGTTCGTGATCATTCATTCCACCATTCGGCTTTTTAGTCAACTCTTTTTGTGCATAATTCATAAGCGATTCACCAATACTTTCGGGTCTCACCCCACGACATTTCATCGCTGTCATAACTCTTTGGTACAAATCGATTCGAAGAACAGATAAATCTTTAATCCACCAGTCCAATTCACACTTTTGTCGACTCATATGTAGTCTACCCGAACTACTATACTCCAACCTCGAAAAACTAGATGCGATTTGCTCCACACACGCTTTCGACGCAATCGCATCGATACATCGCGTAACGATTTTGAGCTCATCGGCTTTCGGAAGTAAGTTTTCACATTGTTGAAGGACTAAAACTGACATTTCGAGATTCTGGCAGACAATATGGTTTAAATACTCGTCGGCACGCGATCCGAGGTTGTTGTTCGAGTAATCCTCAGTCATTTCAAGGTATTCAGAAACACAAATCAGCTGTGCGACGTTCGATGGTGTTATCTCGAAATTGATCCCGTAACAAAATTTAGCAGCGAGCTCGAATGTTACGGTGCCTCCGGGTAGGTTTTGAAGCGCGATTCGTGATATGACCGAGTCTCGGTTTTCCGAAACTGCTTTCCGGATTTGCCCGCTACGGGATACGAGTGGAAACTGTAGACAAACATGGATCAGATGTAGATAACAGTCTTACCTCACACAAACAAAAGTCGAATTTTATGACAAATAAGAAAACTTACCTTATGTAATGCGAACGCGATACCGTTTACTTCTATAGTTATATCACTCGGGACATCGCGAAATATCCTGTAAACGATATATGATTGGATTGTTATATAAATTAGAAACATAAAAAGCAAGAGCACCATGAAATTAACCAAATTTACAAACCACTCGTTATAGTTGTTACGAGAGCTCTTGGCTAACGTGAGCTGGGGGTGGTGTTGGTCCATGGATGGCAGAAATGTAGAGACTAGAGAAAAGATCCGGAGAAGATGAGTAATTAAGAATTCAGGAGATCTATTAGTGTGTGTGTGTGTGGGGTTAAGTTCGGTAAGAAGTGAGATGGAGAGAGGGAGACATAACCACAGTTGGAGATTTTGCTGTTTTTCTGCCCTTTTTTTTTTTTTTTTTTTTTTTTTGTCAAAATGTGCAAAATCATGAGGTTGCTATCGTCCAACCAGTTGGCCTTTGTAGGGTCGTACTTTTTAATACAAGATCATAAATTAAAAACTTTCGTTCTCCAAAATAAGTTGTAACTAGTTTGCAAATTTTGTCACCTTTCATAGACTTTTGAGTAAGTTACACTTTTCGTTCCAAAAAATTTCTTTTCTGTCTTTTTTATTTTAAAAATTTTATTTTGCAGTTTTGTTCCTTATTTGAGGTTTTAGTATTTACTCCAAGTAAAATCACTATATTTGCTAAAATCAATTGTACCTGGATACCAAACTTAGTCATTTACTTGGAACAAAGGACTGAAATATTACAAAAACCACATATAAGGATCAAACTTGCAAGGAAATATTTTTTGGGATCAAAAATGTAATTTACTCTTAAGTGTTTGCTTTTTTAGTTCGTTTATTAAGAACTAGGATGTCATGGTTTTTCTATGAAGTATTATATACGTATATTTAAGTAACTGTTGAAACCCAATGAAATTTCGAACAAATAAAAGGCGATCACGTTTATATGTTTTTTTTTTTTTTTTTTTTCAAAATCATGTTCAATCAAAGCAAATAAAGAAAGGGAGAAAATGGTAATTATGTTGTCTTTAGGAGAGAAAAGTTAAAGAGGAAATCAGAAAATGTTAAAAGATGAAAACAAAACGGGAAGTAAAGGTTAGGTTGTTATTTGGGATTTGACATATTTCAACTTATCCTCAATTCCTCATGGCTCATCGTAACTCATTTTGATACAAATTTCCTTTTTATTTCTTATGTCGAAAATATTTTAGAAGATGATATTTAATTGTTAAATTTTATGAATATTGTGGTATTAACTTTTACGATTAAATGTTGTTTTATTAAATAGCTTTGTGGTAAAAAGTTATCGAATTAGGCGGTAAATGAAATTCTACTGTTTGTCAAATCTATTTTACATGAGATTTTTTTTTCTAAAAGAAACAATGGTATAAAATACGAATATTGTAGAAAATATGAGAGGTTAATGGAAAATAAACAAATTCGTCATAATTTATTGAATAAGACATCAGCCTAACAACCTTATTTAGTCGCAAACAAACAGAATTTTGACAATATCACATGATGTTTAAATTGCCTAACAAACTTATTTACTCAGAAGCAAACACAATTTTGAAACTAAATGTTTAATTTTTGTAGGTGGGTGGTGGGCCCTATGATTCTTATGTTACATATAGAAAGTATTTCAGAATATACACGTAAATGTTTAGTTCATAAAAGCAAAAATAAATATATTAAAGTGAAATTCGTTCATTGATGTATTTTAATTTTTAGCGCATATAAATATCTTTTAAAAAAAAGGTGTTAAAAGCATGAATTTAAATTGACAAAATGACAAGGAACTCCCGCATACTACAAAATCTCGATTTTCAAGATCGTTAAAGCATAGTCAAAAACGTCATTACATATATCATACATGCTTTGACAATTTGGAATCGGAACAATTTTTCTTCAAATGATGCGTTTCACCACGAATGAAGGAAAGTATGCTAGTAAAATTTCCAAAAAGAAAGTAGGGAGTAAAAGGGAACATTTTCAAAAGTAGAGGTACGCTAAATGACATTTCTGATAAATTTAAATGATTTCCCACCCAACTGCGAATGGGCTAGCTGGGCTGGTAGGGACATGTTGGATCATTGGGCCCCTTTGATGCCTCACGTTAATTATACCGTGGGCCATAGTATCATGACTTCTTCCACTTCCACCACATTATTATTTTCTTTATTTATATTTTCTCCATGTAAATATGAACAAAAAGATTTATTTGGGACAAGGTCAAAGTCAATCAAATCTCACAACTACATGTTTTCCTTTCAATTTCAAGTATGATGATGCATCAACCCAATGACCACATGTATCAAGTATTTGATTTCATTTTTAACATAGAAGATATTTGCATAATATAAAAATATTTGAATCATTTTTATCCTTTTAATGACACTTATCAAATGGATTAGGTGAGAGACAATTTCAACCTATATCATTAGAAATAGGTCAAGTTTATGTGTAGATTAGATTAACATGTCAAATATGTAAAAAGTATAAAGTTAGTATTTATGACTCAATCATAAATTGTTACGGAAAACTGTTGATATATGCAAACACACAAATTGCACACGTAGTCACGATCAAATTACGAACGGCTAACTTATCTAGACATGGATATTAAGTATGATTAAGTTTATCTCAACCATGGTTACAACTTGCATTGAGCAGGATGATGGAGAAAAAGGACTACTCCATCTAATAATGCTCATGTCACCTTGTGTGCTAGTGTACTCCATGTATCATGATAATTGCTTTTTATTTGAAGATAACATATCTCTAGACAAAAAAGGACTTGTTGCTTTCATCAATACAAATGACCAATGAAAGCATTATGATTTATGAAAGTAACACTTCTGTTTTGGTATGACCACATAATATGTACACCACATGTTTTTGGACATTGGTCCATTGTCACCATTAATTTGATAATGCATTATATACTCACTTATTAAGTAGATAAATCAACTATTATTGCTTTGATAATGCGATCATGTACTCACGTATTATCATATCCATGAAATAATAACTGATTCAAATCATTTGTACTTCTTGCATATTTTTCAAGATCATTACGAGAAGTGAAAAAAGAAATTGTAATATACTACCGTATACACGTGAGCATGAAATCAATGAAAAAGAAAAACAAAATCTTTATAACTAAAAGAAATGTGAAACAAGAGAAATGACTAGTTAGGGTGATCGATTATGATAGGAACTCTTTAAATAACTAGTATTTGTGCATTGATTGTTTCAATTGGTTAGGAATTGGCTCATTTTAAATTTCTATTTGTCGGTCTACCTTATACATATAATTTTTTCATTTTTAAACCTGTTTTTATTTATGACTGTCTAAACACTTATAAAACACTATAAGAAACCAAATATTATAATTTTCTTGAAACAAGTATTATGAATAAGATAGTTAAAGTGACATCTATTTGTTATACACAGATATACATAGATAACAAATGGATAATGGTAAGAAAAGCAAAAGATATTTATATAAATTTGTGAAATAAAAAAGAAAGGTAAGGGAAATCATGTAAACAAGACTTTTTTTCATAAATCATAGGTGTCAAACCACATAGCTTTGACTTGGAATACTTGTAGAGTATAATACAAATTTAGGATTAGATGCCATCATCATAGTCAAAGCTCAAAAGGTGTTTAAAAAGAGGCGTGTTTGTATTTTCTTCATTCACAAAGGGCCAAAAGTGCATGGTCTGATTTTTATCCTTAAAAGTGGCATTGTGTGGAATTTTACTTTAGCAATTTATTGATTGATGAACGTAAAAGAAAAAGAGATAATGTCAATCGGGGCATGCGCATGCTTTTGTTTTTAAAATAATTAAAATATAACAATAAATATATAAACAAAATCACTATTCTATACTATAATATGTATATATTAATGAAATTATATTATATCTATAACTAGATTCATTTTAATTTTATTAATCAGATTACTTTGGATGATATATTAATTGTTAAGAAACTTTGAATCAACAACTAACATTTACATTTACTATAGCTGTATGATGAAAATAGAGACCCCAACTCATAAAACAAAACATAAATAATCCAATTTATTTATATCGTAAAAATTACCCTAACTAACTGCAACAACAATTAATTTAATTCATTAGCAGTGCACTCTCCCATCTTATGTGTGAACTTTCAAAAATCATCTTCGTCATCACATCTGCAACTTGATTATGAGTTGTTTCTTCTCTTCTCATAACCTCTTGAGTGCTCCACACACACACACACACACCTTCACTTGATTCACCACGAAGAAAGCTGATTTCACGTCCAATTTATAACACCCATGATCATTGTAACTAGAAGTTTTAACCATTAAGTGTGAATTTGGCTTCAAAAGAAGTTGTTTTGGGATGTTTAATTATATAATCACGTAAGGCGAAGAGTAGAATTTAAGATTTAAATGTTGTTATGATGAAATTGTGTATGTATGTTTGGAATTTGGACTGAAGTCCTTAGTGACTATAACAAGTGAATGCTGGTTAAATGTATGCTGTAAATACAAAATCCTATATGGAATGGAATATACTAATTGAAGTAAAAGTTGACCTTGGTGGGAAAGATGCTTGGGTTTGGGTTGATGGTAGTTTGGTTTGGTGGGTAATTTATGAAAATGAAAACTTATAATATGGACTCGAACCCTACCCTATTAAGACTATTAAAAGCTTGGAATTAGTCTGTTGGGCCTGAATGATTAAATGATAATTCCTTTATATTGAGAACGATGCAAACAAAACTAATTATTATAACCATATACAATCACAATATTACAATATTCAATATGGGTTGTCTTCCTCCCTCAGAGGCTCAGACTTATTTTGTATTGTATTCCTAAATAAATAATATCGGTTGACCAAAATAATGTATAGTACAGAATAATTAATAAAAGGAAATGGAAAACCCAATGTTCCACTTCCACATACACTATATGTCCGGTCCAGACAAAGCCCAAAAGACCGGTCCTATCAAAGTCTATCCAGTCACAAAATGCATGAATTGTCAAGTGATAAAAGGACAGCTTCTGATTTTTATAAATTAACATTATTAATAAAAAAATTATAAAAATAAATAAAGAAAAAGATAATTGAAGTTTTTTACAGTCCAAATAAAACCCGATTACGGACCACTCCTATGTGATGACCCAATTTGAAAGAAAGCTCACTAGGCCGGACCCTTTTATTTAACTCTACAGAATAAACAACATATCAGTACTCGATTTTTGGTCACAGTTTTGGAAATATACAAGTTGAACACATAGACACATCAAAACCTACAGATACAATTACCATATAGAATGGTGACAATAATGCTTGAAAATTT